ATATGAGTTAGCACCCCGAAATGCTGATGCAGTCTTAGGCTTCCTTAAGAGGGGCATCATTTCTAGGAATATAATACTGTTACTAATGATGATGATAATGATAATGGCTAACATTTGTACGATGCTTATTACGTGCCAGGCACTGCACTCAGTGCTTTCCAATTATTTTCTTATTTGATACTCACTACAATCCTGGGAGGTAAATGCAGTTATTATCCTCATTTTACAGATGTGGAAACCAAGGCAAAGAGAAGTTAGGTGACTTGCCTCGTGTCATACAGCTAGTAAGTGTCTGAGGATGTATTTGAACTCAGGTCTTCCTGACTCTAGGCCTGGCACTCTATCCGCCGTGCCACCTAGCTGCCCTCTGAATCTGGAGATAATTGTCCCACTGTACTCTGTCCTCTTGCTAGACCTCACCTGGAGCATGGGGTTTAGTCCTGGGCACCATGTTCTAAGAAGGATATGGATAAATGGGAGAGTGTCCAGAGGAGGGTAATCAGAATGGTGAAAGGCCTTTGACTTTATACCAGATGAGGATTAGCTGAAGGAGCTGGGCACATTTTGTCTGGTGAAATGAACAAAAGGGTGGCTATGATGAGTTGCCTTTGAGTATTTAAACTTGAATTGGTCATTGTGGAAGAGATTAGATTTGTTCTATTCGGCCCCACCAGGACTGAACCAGAAGAAATGGACAGAAGTAACAAAGATGCACATTCGGGCTTAATGTCAGGAAGAAACATCCTGATAAATGAAGGTGTCCAAAAAGTGGCATGAGCTTCCTTAGGAGCATTGGCGTGCTTTGTCCTTTGTCCTTTGTTCTCGAAGAGGACCAGTGATATCATGGGGTGATGTCTTGACCCATGTGTGAATTGGATTTAAGTGAGACAGAGTGGCACAAAGTCGTCAGCTTCACTTTCTGTTCCAGAGTCTTCTAACATCCAGTGGCAAGAAAAAGTCAAGACAACCGGTGACGGCCTGGGATGTAGCAGTTGACCTTAATCTCTTTGGTGTCTGTAGTGCCTACTTCACCTGCCTTCATGGCCATTGGAACAAATTGTTCTCATCTGCCCACCCCACTAGGGGAAGTCTTCCCATGTTTAAGGTAGACACTCTAATTCACTGATGGGTTTGAGACCCCTCAGCTACCATCTATTGAGACAGTTTACTGGGGTATGTCCATTGCAGATGCTACAGCTTCTTGGGGCCACAGATGAGAGTTGGGTGTCAAATAGACACCAAGGGTGTCTTAAAAGATCTTGGCAAGCCTTCAGACCAGTGTTGCTAGCCCTTCCCTGAACACCTAATACATTCCTGGAGTCCTTTAAGCAAAGGCTGGAAGATCACTTGTCTGGAATGTTCTAGTGGGGATTTCTTTGGCATGTGGATGGGATGAGATGGTCCCTGAGGTCGTCCTCTTCTCAAAGCCTGTGATTTCTTTTGGGGCATGTGCTTATTTTCATGGGGTGAGGAGAGGAGGTGGGAGGGAAGTGTCTGATTATTTCATCCAACCCAGTGGCACCAGTTGGAGAGGTACTGTTTACAATATTAGATTTCTGCCAGAGTGGGCTGAGCTGGCTTGGGGGCTTGGACTGTCTTCTCCAGGGAGTCCTCTGTCAGACTGCTGCTTTGTCTATCTGATAGGAAGACTTGAACCGTTGCCATTTCTAAATTGCGTTTCTAAATATTGACTTAATGGAGGTACCTGGAGTGTCATAACACAACTTACTGGGGCCATGAAAATATTCCAGGCCTTGTGGAGAGGCCTGCAAAATGTCCTGTGGAGAGTGGGGATAGGAAGAAGTGGATCTGAGAAGAAGAAAAATGATCCAATGGTATTTAAGAGAGGTGCCCCAGCTTCAGATGTTCTGGGGCAGATGCCTGATTTTTTGCTGCCTATCCTAATTTATTTGGCATGGTTAGATTAGAAGTTGTTCTGAAAAAGATCTGGGGGTCTTAAAAGACTCTCAATGTAACTCAGCTCCCCAAAATATTAATGGGTTAATGCCATTCAGAGAAGCATCACTCCCAGGAATATAAAAATGACAGCTAATATTTATATAGTGCTTATTATGTGGCAGGTACTGTGCTAAGCACTTTACAATTAATATCTCCTCTGTTCCTCACAAGAACCCTGTGAGGGAGGTGGGGAAGCACCTCTCATAATCTCCAAGAGATGAATGAACAGCATCTGCATTATTGGCTGAGGGGGAAGGGGGCAACTTATGGCCATTAATCACGTAACTGTACCCTCTCGGCTTCTGCATAGGCTGTCTTTAGCCAGGGTATCCAAGCAGCATCCCGGGGAGCTGGAGAACTTTGTGACTACCTGGCCAAAAGTAGGGAAACGGGTTGGAGTCTCAGGAGCAGTGGTCCAGTAGACAGAGCTCTGAACCTGGAGTCAGGAGGACGTGAGTTCAAATTCAGCCTCAGACACTAGCTGTGTGACGTTGGGCAAGTCTCTTCATCTCTGGCTGCCTCATCTTTCTCTTTTGTAAAATAAGGATCACAATAGTACCCACATTCCAGGGTTGTTGTGATGATCAAATGAGATGCCTGGCATACAGCAGGTACATAATAAGTGCTTATTCCCTTCCATTTTTCATGAAGGACTGAAAGTTTCCTAAGAAACAATACTGGATACTTTGTCACAGGATAAAGATTTAGAGCTAGAAAGGACTTCAGAGGTCATCTAGAACAATCCCTGCATTTTACAGAGGGGGAAACTGAGTCTCAGGAAGGTTAAGCAACTTGTCCCAAAGTCTCAAAGTTAGTCATTGGCAGAGCTGGGATTCAAACCCTGGTCACTTGACTCCATATCCATCCCTTTCTACTGTCTCATATTGCTTTAGCCTGTACTTACAGGATTTTAAAAATTGTATTATTATATGCCAGGCACTTGGCTAAGAACTTTTAACAAACATTATTTTATTCAACCCTCAGAACAACCCTATGAGGTAGACACTATTGTTATCCCTGTTTTATGATTAAGGAAACTGAGACAAACAAATGTTAAGTCACTTTTAAAGGATAAAGGAGAAATTACATATGAATACACATTGAATGGGGCAGCTAGGCTGCAGTGCACCGAGCACCCAGGAAGGCTCATCTTCCTGAGTTCAAATCTGGTCTCAGACACTTACTGCTGTGTGACTCTGGGCAAGTCACTTAACCCTGTTTGCATCAGTTTCCTCCTCTGTGAAATGAGCTGGAGAAGGACATGGAAAACCACTCTATTACCATTGCCAAGAAAACCCCAAATGAGGTAATGAAGAGTTGGATACCACTGAAAAACGACTGGACAACAATCACCACATTGAGCTCTTTGGATAAACAAGGTTATGTATGTCAGTCTAAATAGTTGTTGATGACAAAGCTGATTAAAGGGAAGAAGCTCATTCTCCAGCCTATGGGGACAGCATGAGACAGTGGAAAGAGCAATGGCACTGGAGGCAGAGAACCTGAGTTCGAATCCCACCTCTAACTCTCACTCCTTGCATGATCTTCAGACCCTTCATCTGTAAAATGAAAAAATTGGGCCTGGTGGCCCCAGGGGGCCCTTCCATGTTTGTGTCTACTGTCCTACAAGGCTGACCTCCCACAGACCTGCAGAAGAAGAGCTCAGCTCTATGTGGAAGGGCGAGAATGTCTCTGCATCCACACAGAATAAGGCTCCTCCTCTTCTTCCCTTCTTCCCTGGAAGAGAAAGTCAAGGAAGGGGAAGCACAGAGAGGGCCTTCTCTCTATAATACACATTGCCTGGGCCAGAAGGGTGAGGCTGTTTTGTGTGAAGCTCCTTGGGAAGCCTTCAGGGCAGTGCCATAATAAATGTCCATTCTGGTGTCTCTCTCACCCAACTTTAAATAACTGGATACTTGCGTTGAAGTGCACTCTATTCTGTCTTTGGTCTTATCAGACAGGCACAGCTCACTCTGGCTTTCGTGACGATACCATGAATTCACATCACGCTTCACCATTTGCATGTTTCTTGTATCTATGATTTCATTTGTACCTTGGAACAACCTAGTGAGCAGGGCAGATATGCTCCCCATTTTGAATAACATGGTGAAAAGTATTAAAAAAGTATAGGAAAAAGAACACTGGATTGGAAACCAAAGATCTGGGTTTGAATCCCAGCTCTGCCAAAAATTCACTTTATGAAATGTCTAAGGTCCTTTGCAGCTCTGAATTCTGGGATAAAGTTGACGCTATGAGCATAATGAAGCAAATGACTTATCCAAGATCATTCTGTTAGGATGTGACAAAACTGAGACCGGTCTGAATCTAAGTCACACTACCCCTGATTTTAGGTTATCCAGCAACCATAGTGTTATTTCTTCTCCATCAAAGAAATGAGGTGGGATGTTGCAGCGGAAAGAGTAATGGCCTTGGAGTCAAAAGACCTGAGTTCAAATCTCGGGTCTAGAGCTAATTAGATGTGTTTTCTTGGGCAAGTCACCCATCTGAGCCTCAGCTTCCTCATCTGTAAAATGGGAATTAATGCTTATACTACCTTACAAAGTTGCTGTGAGTGATAGTAGCTAACATTTCAATATCACTTTAAGGTTTGCAAAGTGCTTTATGTGGTTCTTGTTTTTCTTTTTTTTCATCTGCTCCTTACAACACTCTTGGGAGGTAAGTGCTATTAGTTTTTAAAAAATTTTTAATTTAAAAATTTTTTTAATTAATTAGATTATGGTAGGTGCTATTATTAACCCCATTTTTACAGATGAGCAAACTGAGGTTGAGAGACATTAAATGACTTGTCCAGGGTCACACAGTTCATAAATATCTGAAGTGAGATTTGAACCTAAGTCTTCCTCATTCTCTTTTCGGTACCCTATCTACCACACCATGCTTCTGTCTTTGAGTGTGTTGTCCATACCATTACTTGGTCTTCCTGTAGGATTTTTACTTTTGAAGTCCTACTTTCATGCTCTGTGAGTTGACCTAAGAAGGATTTTGTCATTTGGCGCGATAAGAGGATTTAAGACACTAACCTGGCCAGTAATACATAGACACATTCCGTCTTGCCTTGGTCATGGTGACCCACAGTGGCTCTGATCCATTCCACCAGAGAGGCATCAAGCTGTCCTTGTTGACCCCAATGTCAAATGATTTGTTTGTATTAGGGTCCCACATGTAGTTCCCAGTCATCTGATGGACTTCACAGTGGCGACCTGCGTTTAAAAAAGTACATACATAGGGCCATTAGCTTGTCATTCATTCAGAGCTGGAAGGGCCATTACCTTTCTATTTATTTAGTGCTCCACCCCACCCTCCCCACTCTGTCCCCTTCCTGAACTGCACCATCTAAAAACAAACAAAATGATGAATCAGCTTCAACACAGAGATGTCTAATATGGGACTAAAATCACTCTGAATGAGGGGCATGTGCCAAGTACGAGGCTATTTTAAGTGCAATGGGGAACTGGGCGTCCAAAACATCGCCGCTGAACAAAGACTGAGGTCTGAATAAGAAACAATATGTAAGCAATGAGATTGTTTGGGGTTTTGTAATTTCTGATCCTTCCTCATTCCCCTGTCACCTCTACCCCGCAATGGCCTCTAAAAGAGACAAAGGACGATCTTGCCAAATCCGTCTCTGTCCTTCAGAGGGGATGCCTTTTGCGTGCCCTATGATGTGAGAACATGTGATAGAGCCGTTAGAAGAAAAGGAATAGACTGAAGTTTTTAAGACAGAGCAAGAGAAATGAACTAGGAAGACGGAGTATACTACCAAAGTGAGTGTTGGCTCTGTGGGGCCTCAGGAGAGAAGCCAGAAGTAACAGGTACCCACCAACATAGCACATGGACTCTACTGAGGCATCCCACTTAAATGTTTAATTTGGGGGTAAACCCATCACATTTTTTAAGGGAGAATTACACAAACACTGGCAAGGCCCTCAAACGCAGCTTCCGTTTTGGGCAGAGTCATTTGGCACCAGGCTCAAATTCTCTGACTGTGTTTAATCAAAGTTTTTCTTTCTTTCTCTTTATTTATTTTCTTTTTTTAAAGGGGGTGGGAGGGAGAGGGAACAGCAGTCTGGTGGGCAAAAGGACCATAAAAGAAAAGTGGCTTCCTTTGTCTAAGAAACTTAGGAAGTTCTGAAACCATCCTCTGAAGCTATGGCCCACAGTAGAGTGCTGGACTTAAGGTCCAGGGGCCTGGGTTTGAATCCTGCCCATACCACCCGGCGTCTGTGTTACCTTGATGTTAACCTTTCTGGACATCCTTTTCTTCACCTGTAGAGCAAAGGGGTTGGGCTAGATATCCATAAGGTACCTTTCAGTTCCAAATCTACAATCTGCTGTGATCCCATGACTTTACCAATATTGCTGACATCAATGTAACAGTAAGAGCACTGCCCTGGCCTTGGAATCAGACTTAAGGCCGGCCTCAGACAGTTGCTAGCTGTGTGACTGCGGACAAACACCTCTTGAGCCTCCATTTCCTTATATGTAAAATGAGGACACTGATACTTGACCGTGTACCCACCTGACCTGGTACACATTAGATGTGTGGAAAGCACTTTGGAAAACTTAAGAGTCTCATAAGGGGTGTCCCAAAAATCTTAGTTCAGTTTTTAAAACTTGGAAAATTTCGTATTGCCCCAATTCCCCCATCTTCTTTGTAGCACAGCCCCTAAGGGTCTAGGTGGATGAGCTTTAAAAATTGAACTAAGACTTTAGTTCAACCTAAATGAATGTGAGTTGTGACCACTGGTCATTTTAACAATGACCTTGGAGTTAAATCTGAATCCTGGTTCTGCCATTTGCTATCTCTGTGACCATGGATAAGTTACTTAACCTCTCTGGGTCTCAGTTTCCTCAATTTGTAAAATGAAATAACTGGATTCAAGAGGCTAAAAGTTCCCTTCTAGACTTATGATCCTATGAGGTATTATTCTTACCCAGGGCTCCACAATATCTCCTCTGCCCTGTGGTCTATCAGTGATGAGCTTGAGAGTCAATTGGGGCGGTACAGATATCAGGGGATTTTCTCTGATTGACTACTACTTTTTAGCTGGTGCAAAATCTCCTTGGAAAATTTTGTATTGCTTTAGTTTGCATTTCTCTAATCAATAATGATTTAGAGAATATTTTCATATGACTATAAATTGTTTTGATTTCTTTATCTAAAAACCACCTGTCCATCTCCTTCTACCATTTATCAATTTGGGAATGACTTCTATTTTTTTTTCCTTTTTTTTCTTGGCAGTCGGGGTTAAGTGACTTGCCCAGGGTCACACAGCTAGTAAATGTTAAGTGTTTGGTCTGAGGCTGGATTTGAACTCAGGTCCTCCTGACTTCAGGGCCAGTGCTCTATCCACTAGCTGCCCACAATGACTTCTATTCTTATAGATTTTACAAAGTTCTTTATATGAAATGTGAGCCCTTTATCTGAGAAGCTGTCTATAAAATTTCCCCCCCAATTTTCTGCTTTCCTTCTAAACCTGGATGCATTTGTTTTATTTGTACAAAACCTTTTTAATTTAATTATTTATTTTAATTTATTAATTATTATTATTTATTTATTCTTAACTATTATTATTAATATAATTTATTAATTTAATTTTAATTTAGTTTAATGATCAAAATTATCCATTTTACACCTTACTCTGCTCTCTTATCTCTTGTTTATTCATAAATTGTTCACTTATCCATAAGTCTGATAAGCAATATGTTCCATGTTCTTCAGATTTTCTTGCAATCTCCCTCTTTACATCTAGGTCACATATCCATTTTGACTTTCTTTTAGTAAATGGTGTCCTGTAAGATATTGGTCTATGCTGTATTGCACCAATGCCTCCATCCCCTTGGTAGCATAGTGCATAAGGGTCCAACTGGATGAGTCAAAGCTGCTCCTTTCTTCTTTAGGAAGCTTAGGACAGATGGGTGGGTGGTACAATGGGTACAGTGCTGTTGGGCTTGGGGGTCAGGCAATGATGGGTTAGTCGTTTTAGTCATGTCCAATTCTTCGTGATCCTGTTTAGAGTTTTCTTGGCAGAGATGCTGGAATGGGTTGCCATTTCCTTCTCCAGCTCATTTGACAATGAGGAAACTGAGGCAAATAGGGTTAAGTGATTTAACCAGGGTCACACAGTTAGTAAGTATCTGAGGCCAGATTTGAACTCAGGAAGATGAGTCAGGCCTGGAGCTCTACCCACTGTGCCACCTAGCTGATCTTGAACTTGGGGTATCAAGCACTCCTAGGTTCAAATCTTGCTACAGACCATTTCTAGCTGGGTGACTTGGGAAATTCACTTAACCTTTCTCAGACTCAGTTTCTTCATTTGTAAAATGGAAATAATAATATCTTCCTCATGAAGTTGTTTTGAAGATCAAATGAGATAATATTCATAAAATGCTTTGCAAATCTACAATTATTGTATAAATGTCAGCTACAGAGGGTATAGATTAGAGGCAACAGAGAATAAAATCAAGTGGCTCAATGAGAACTCTTCCTCTCAGGCTACTGAGACATCATGCATGTGCTGGGGGATAGACCCCCTGTCTCCAAGGTCAGAGACCATTCCTATGTTTAGACTCAGAAAATGTCCCAGGGAAGTGCCTGTTTAAGTTTCAAATTTGACCTTGAGCGTAATCAGTCTTGTGGGCTTTGCAAAGTCATTCAACTTTTCATCTGGAAAAGGAATAAGATATCTTCAGGTACAGTAGACTTCTGAGAAATTTTGACTGGGTTGTGAACCTGAAGTCAAAGCCCTATGGACAGTGGCATCTCATTTGCCTGTTGGACAGGACGTATCCTTAGGACCTGGCCTTGGAAGGCTATGGTTTTGGCAGGGATACCAGAGGGTGTTTTAATCCCAAAGTGAGGCTCATTGTTCATTTGCCAGTTTCAAGCAGAAGATTAAAAAGTTGGTTTCATGCCATTCTCTGGGTCCCTAGGTTGGTTGGTTTAAGGTCTACATCTTTGTGCCTCATTGTGCTCATTTCAGTCCCTGAGTTAGGAATCCCTGGATCTAAATCTTGCCTCTGATACCAGTTGGGTAATCATGGACATGTTGTTCAACCTCTTTCAGTCTCAGTTTCCTCATCTATAAAATGGCACCTTGACGAGAGATTGGGGAACTCTACCTCCCAATGACTGGGGCTACCTCCGAGGTGATGGTCTAATTGGGACTCATGGGGACAGACTTGTTGGAGTAGCAACTCTGCCCTGTGGTCTAGAGAAAAACACGTGACACTATCTCTCTGTCTCTGTCTCCATCTGTCTGTCTGTCTCTTTTATCACACACACACACACACACACACACTTATCTAGATCTATCTCTAGATCTATATATCTATATACATACATACATATCTTGGACTTTGGTGATAGACCAGAACTGTGTTCTGGGGGAATGAAGAAGAATCCATAGACAAGCTTGTGGAAGAAGGACATGGTACAGAGAGACACATCCTTACGTTGGGCTTGTGAGGAAGAGGATCTGGGAATTGAACCTTTTAAACAGAAGGGAGATTTCCAAGCCTGCACAAGCTTTGAGAGTTGTCTATCAACTCTCAAAGTGATATAAGCAGCCAAAGTGATCTTCCTAAAGTACAAGTCTGACCATGTAACTCCTCTACTCAATAAACTAGGGGCAGCTAGGTGGGACAGTGGATAGAGCACCGGGCTTGGAATCAGGATCACTCATCAAAACTGACCTCAGATGCTTACTAGCTGTGTGACCCTGAGTCAAGTCACTTGACCCTGTTTGCCTCAGTTTACTCATCTATAAAATAAGCTAGAGAAGAAAACGGCAAACCACTCCATTATCTTTGCCAAGAAAACCCCAGATGGGGTCACAAAGAGTCTGATGTGACTGCAAATGACTGATCAACAACAACAATAAATTATAGGGTTCCTTATCATCTCCTGGATAAAGCCCTACATGATCTGGCCCCTTCCTACTTTTTCCTTCTCCAGGTACTTATTCCCTTCCATACTTTACTCCCTTGATCCATTAACACTGGCTTTCTTGCTATCTCTTACCCGCAATACATCACCTCCCATCTCTATATCTTTTAATTAGCTGTCCCCCATGCTTAGAATACTCTCCCTCCTTCTGGTTTCCTTCTCAACTCAACCTAAATCCAACCTTCTACAAGAAGCCTTCCCTCTCCCCCCACACCTACCCGTTGCTAGTACTTTCCCTCTGGGATTATATCC